GTTAAAGCCTCACAATCTCTAATCCATGAAAACAGGTTTCTAGAGCGAGAAGAGAAATGGCTAACTCATACACCAAGCTCAGAATTTGTTTCTTTGTTTTGTGTTGTTTCCCAATACTATTCCTTAACCTTGCAATAACCCTGTCAAGTAATTTCCTACCACACCTTCCCCTAAGTGAAAAATAAGTATGGTAATAGAAGCAACCACAAACACAGGTTACATTGAAAAAATGTCCCATTTCCCCAGTCACCTGAGCTGGAATAAAACCATTATTAAGACATAAGTGGGAGAGGACCCTTGATTTTTCAAGGTAAAATCATCATTTTCATGTAAACATAAAATGAATACAGGCAAAGATTTTATTTAACTCATTTATAACAGTGGAAACTAGCCAGATGTTAAAATCAGCTCAAAAATGAATTTAAAGAATAGACATTGACGGAGCCAGTCAGGAGAGCTGAAATGAATTTATAAACAGATGTTAAACTGGCTAATATCCAATGGGGAGATAAAAGGCAGTGTTTGGGGTTGTCTTTTCAGTAGTGTAGATATCAGTTACATGTATTGGATAAAATTCACTTGCTTTGCTAAGGATAAGAATCATTTCCATTATCAGTTTTCTGCAACTTGACTTCCACCCGAAAGAGTTATAAAACAGCCTAGTCAACAAAAAGGTAATATCCTACACTCCTATAAAATAGGTCCCCAGAAATCTGGCTCGACCCACACTGCTCAATTGCATGGCCACTAGCCACATGTGGACAGGGCTGGTGCAGAACATCCCCATAGAAAGTTCTACTGAACAACACTGTACTACCAGATGACTGGTGCTCAACTGAAAGGCTGCCCAGTGCTCTCTGTTGTCCATTTCCAAATCTTCAACAATTTTTTTTTCTGACAAAAGAAAATAAGCAACAACAATAGTGATATGGAGCAGGGTATATAAGGGAATAATAGCCAGTATTTATTGAGTACCAGCTATATGCCAGGAATTGTATAAGCCCATTTGTATATATTATCTAATTGGGTTTTCACAATTTATATATATTACCTAATCCAGTCCTTATAATAGTTTAACCTCACGTATTATTTGAGGTAACAAACTCTAAGAGTTTAAATAATCTGAGTCCTCAAAATTTGCATATATTATCTGATGAGTCCTCACAATAAATTAACCTCACTTACTAGATGATCCAGAGACTCAAGCAGATTAGAAAGATCTGCTTGAGACCATACATACAACTATTAAGTGGTTGAACCAGGATTTGATATCACATTTGTGTAACTCTTTAGTCTTGCTTGTTTCATGGGACCAGATTGACCAGTCTATGTGTCTTGAAAGAGAAGTAAGGGTAGTAGATGCAGGTAAACACAGAGTACAGATAAAAATTACAACCATAAAGAGACATCCAAGAAATCTGACCTGCCCACATTGACTTAGGCCACTTTGTCTCAGTAGAGGAAAACATGGCGGCCTGTCTGCTGAAGGAAGAAAAGAGAAGTGTTTGCTCCAGCCTGCTCTGTGTCCAAGGATGTCACTGAGTCCATGCCAGAGCACGTTGTGTTCACGCATAACACTAACTAACATTGCGGCATGTTCATCACGGACTGTCCATCTCCCCAGTTAGAACTTCCATTACGGACAGCCACATGCAGAAGAATGAAACTCGACCATTCTCTAACATCATTCACAAAGATAAATTCAAAGTGGATGAAAGACCTCAATGTGAGACAGGAATCCATCAAAATCCTAGAAGAGAACATAGGCAGTAACTTCTTTGACATCGCCCACAGCAACTTCTTTCATGATACATCTCCAAAAGCTAGTGAAACAAAAGCAAAAATGAACTTTTGGGACTTCATCAAGATAAAAAGCTTCTGCACAGCAAAGGAAACAGTCAACAAAATAAAGAGGCAACCCACAGAATGGGAGAAGATATTTGCAAATGACACTACAGATAAAGGGCTGGTATCCAAGATCTATAAAGAACTTCTCAAACTCAACACCCAAAAAAACAAATAATCAACTCAAAAAGTGGGCAGAAGATATGAAAAGATACTTCTCTGAAGAAGACATACAAATGGCTAACAGACACATGAAAAAATGTTCATCATCATTAGCCATCAGGGAAATCCAAATCAAAACCACACTGAGATACCACCTTACACCAGTTAGAATGGCCAAAATGGACAGGGAAAGAAACAACAAATGTTGGAGAGGTTGTGGAGAAAGGGGAACCCTCTTACATTGTTGGTGGGAATGCAAGTTGGTACAGCCACTTTGGAAAACAGTATGGAGGTTCCTCAAAAATTTAAAAATAGAGCTACCCTATGACCCATCAATTGCACTCCTGGGTATTTACCCCAAAGACACAGATGTAGTGAAAAGAAGGGCCATATGCACCCCAATGTTCATAGCAGCAATGTCCTCAATAGCCAAACTGTGGAAAGAGCCGAGATGCCCTTCAACAGATGAATGGATAAAGAAGATGTGGTCCATATATACAATGGAATATTACTCAGCCATCAGAAAAGATTAATACCCAACTTTTACATCAACATGGATGGGATTGGAGGAGATTATGCTAAGTGAAATAAGTCAAGCAGAGAAAGTCAATTATCATATGGTTTCACTTATTTGTGGAACATAAGGAATAGCATGGAGGACATTAGGAGAAGAAAGGGAAAAATGGGGGGGGGCGGAATTGGAGGGAGAGATGAACCATGAGAGACTATGGACTCTGAGAAACAAACAGGGTTTTAGAGGGGAGGGGGGAGGGGGGGTTGTTTAGCCCAGTGATGGGTATTAAGGAGGGCACGTACTGCATGGAGCACTGGGTGTTATATGAAAACAATGGATCGTGGATCACCACATCAAAAACTGTATGTACTGTATGGTGACTAACATAACATAATAAAATTAAAAAAAAAAAAAAAAAAAGAACTTCCATTACTCCAGTGGGGAATCAGAGAAGAAACACACTTACTTATAACATCCTGCCTGGGCATAGCTCTTCATTTAAGTTTGCTAAACACATGATTTCTAACCATGTGTACACCTCTGCCCCGTAACATCAAACCATCCCACACCAATTTGTAGGTGGCTAGACAACTTGCTAGGCACGCTTCCTTGCTTCTACTACTATTTTACTTTTGCAACTATTGGGCAGCATTGTACCATCACATGATGGACTGGCACACCAGATGCTGCCCAGCTCCACCCTGGCTGGCTGTGAGACTGGGGAAGTTGTTAAAAACTCTTTAGGCCTCTAAAATATCACCTCGCATCTGTCAGAATGGCTAAAATCAACAACACAAGATACAAGTGTTAGGGAGGATGTGGAGAAAAGGGAACTGTCCTACACTGTTGATGGGGATGCAAACTGGGGCAGCCACTGTGGAAGACAGTATGGAGTCTCCTCAAAAAGCTAAAAATGGAACTACCTTGTAATCACACTACTGAGTATTTACCCAAAATCCAAAAATACTCATTCAAAGGGATACATGCACTCCTATGTTCATTGCAACATTATTTACAATAGCCAAGATATGAAAGCAGCCCAAGTGACCATTGTAGATGAATGGATAAAGAAGATGTATGTGGTGTATATATATATAATGGAATACTATTCAGCCATGAAAAGAAGTGAGATCTTGCCATTTGTGATAACATGGTTGGAGCTGGAGAGTATTACACTAAGCAAAATAAGTCAGTCAGAGAAAGACAAATACCATATGATTTCACTCATATGTGGAATTTAAGAAACAAAGCAAACAAACAAAGGGGTGGGGAGAGGAAGGCAAACCAAGAAACAGACTCTTAACTACAGAGAACACACTGATGGTCACTAGAGGGGAGGTGGGTGGGAGGATGTGTGAATTAGGTGACAGGGATGAAGGCGTGCACCTGTTGTGATGAGCACTGTGTGATGTATGGAAGTCTTAAATCAGTATATTATACAACTGAAACTAATACAACACGGTATGTTAGCTAACTGGAATTAAATTAAAAAATAATAAAAATAAAATAAAAAACACAGAATGTGGGGAAATGGACATCTTTCTACATGACTTGTGAGAGTGTGAACAGCTGTAACCTATTAAAGGCAAAACTGAATGCACTTTGTGATCTATCAACCCATTTTCAGAAATAAAAGTACCAAACAGCAAGAATCAAAAAAAAAAAAAAAAAAAACCTTCAGGCTTCATATTTTTTGATAAAATATGGACAATAATCAAATTTACATCATAGAGTTGATGGAAGAATTTAATGAGATAATATTCATAAGAAGATTAGTACAATGTCTCATATTTAGACCCAAGAAATGTTCTCTATTAGTGCTGGTATTTTGAGCCAAATAAATAATGAATATTGTTACAATGCCATAATTCTCAATATTTGTATTAAATATCACTTCGTATTTTCAAGAGAGTTAGAGAACAGAAAGTTACGCAAGAGGTTGTGACCATTTTTGTAATACATTTTTCTTATGAATGTACCAGATGTCCCATATAAAACCATAAAACTGTTCCACACTGGTCACTGCACACAGTGAAAAAAAACCAAAACTACCATTTATGAACTACCAGAAGCAATATGATTAAATGAGAATTTCTGCCGAAGAGCAGAGCTAATTTTCTGGCTGAGAAACACCTGACTTTTTGAGCATTTCAGTTTATTTTTATTTATTTATTTTTTAAAGATTTTATTTATTTATTTGAAAGAGAGAGAATGAGAGAGAGCACATGAGAGGGGGGAGGGGGAGGGGACAAGCAGACTCCCTGCCGAGCAGGGAGCCCGATGTGGGACTCGATCCAGGGACTCGATCCAGGGACTCCAGGATCATGACCTGAGCCGAAGGCAGTCGCTTAACCAACCGAGCCACCCGGGCGCCCCCATTTCAGTTTATTTTTTAACTTCCTTTCTACCGGGGGACAGTGTGGATGTATGCTTTCTCTGATTTAGCCAGCATGGAAATGCCTTCTTTCTTTTTTCTTAGACATCACAGTACCGTTGCTTAGGCTGGAGTGAAGGCAGAAGGGGAAGTCGATAGAATGAGGAAGCAGTCAACCCAGCAACCAAGCTTTTGGAAACCATTGCAGGTATGGAGCAAAACAATGGGAGCCAGGGTAAGAGGCGGGGGCGGGTGGGGGGCGATTCTTGGAAATTTGATAGGAGAGCGTACGTAGCTTGACTGCGGAGGTAAGTGCAATAGTCTATGTGCAATCCCCACATCCAAATGCGTGCACGAATTTGCACACGCACGCGCGTGCGCCCCCACACACACAGACGTGCAAATGCAGATGGGCTGAGAAGTTCCAGGATCCTTTCTAGAAGGAACTAATCTCCTGAAGCAGGTCGGCTGAAGCCCAGACCCCCAACCCTTGAAACCGGAGCGGACCTAGTGGCAGAGCCCAAGGGCGAAATCCTAGCGCGCTGATCAGCCGCAGCATCCTGCCCTCCGAAATTCTGTGTTTGCTCAACACCTCGTGCCTGTGTACACAGCGCGGAAGGGGAAAGCCTTCTCGTTTTCAGCCTTCCGGGGCTAATGTTCCGCATCAGTCGGCGCTGCCATCATGGATCCGACATTCTCCCTTCTAAATCCACATGAGTTTCCTTCTTCATGATGCGAGCAAATTGAAATCTGCGTGCTAGTGATTTGCAAAATGTACCATGGTGCAAAGAGAGCATTCTGATTAGTCCGGTCCTGTTATAATCATTGGTTTTCCAGAAGTAATTCAGGAAATATTCTCAGAGCAACCTAATGCCTGCACGCACGATGAGACACAGGAGGATTTTGCAGATAGATATTTAATACACACATAGTCAAGAGGAGCCCTTCCGTTTTGAGGATCCAGCTAGTTAATATGTGAGGACTGTTGCCAAGAAGGACGTAGGGTTCTGTCTCTCCCCAGAAATGCCTAAAATAATTGTCTTGTAAAGGTGAGAGGGTGCTTGAAACCAGACCTGCCCGCATTCCAAGCCCTTCAGGTAGCCTGAGAGTTTTATGGTAATGAAATCCTCCTTTGTCATTTACATTCCTTTGGTGGTTATTTATGCAAATGCTCAGATGTTTTACTACCTTGAAACAGATTTACCGATGAATAAATCCCTTCCTCCTAATGAAAACATTTCAGCCCTCCTAACCGGGAAGTCTCCAAAAGGATATCTGTTTGGGTGATCATAAACTACTTTGATATCCTACTACACTGAGCTTTGGAAAATAAATAACTATATTATTTGTGACTGCCACACAACCGAGCCTTTGAGTAATCACATTTCCACTTAAAGAAGCAAAGTGAAATCGCTATTTTAAAAATCATTATATGAAACTAACACAGTACTACTCAGTGGATTTAAAAATGAAACGTCCCCCAGTGTTTCTTCTGATTATCTCTCCAGAGTAAACAGGGACATCTCAATGCAAAGAAAAGAAAGAAAGAAAAAGAAAAGGCTCATGCAGCTGTCTGTCATTCATTTATTTGGAATGTTCACCGGAAAGCCCTTCAGTGATTTCTACACAGAGAAAAGGTTGCAGCACCTTGAGATCTCTCTCACCGTCAAAGGTTCCTGAAACCGGTTTGGTGGGGACGGTGATGGAACACAGAAAGCAGGCCTGGAGAACCATCCTCAGATGTACTAGAAAATCAGCAAAGAAGCAATAAACATTACAGTGACTTCTGGCTTACTCTCAAGCATGCAAGAACTATGCTTTCTGGTTTGGTAGAGTGTCAGAAGCAGATGTACGGTCCTGTGAGGGTCAGGTTCTTTCACGACGGTTCCAAATAACCACTCAAATATGTCTAAATGATGGGAAAATCACTTTATTTCTGCTTTTTCATTTTAATAGGTTGCCTCAGGAAAGCCTAGGGAAAGGTGTACTTGACTCTCACAGGAAGATTTCTTTCATTTAACAATTTGAACATGCCCCCTGGACTCGTGACCTAAATTCATGATGGCTTTGTAAGAAACTTCAAGTTAATCACTGACTTTTGAAAAGAGAGTGCAAACATTTTATTACATTTAATTTTATTTAAAATGTGTGATATGTTGGTTTGAGAGTTCTGAGTTCCTGCGTCTATCACAAGGAGCGCGTGGAAACGAGGCGCGACCTGGGTGTTTGAATTCAGTTTGCCCATGGCTGCAAACAGAAACCACAGAGGTGCCCCCTGCACGTGAAGTCCCACGAAGTCCGCCCTTTCCTAGGTGGGTGACCTTTGGCAGGTGTTTGACTTCTGAGTTTCAGTTATCTCCTGTAAAAGGCGGGGTTATGAAACCTAACCAGTCATAATTGAATGAGGCCATCAATTAATAAAACAATCATCTATCAAAAGTTTCTGAGTAATTGCTAATTACCAGATACTGTGTCTGAAACACAGCTCTCAAAAAAAAAAAAAAAAGCCATTATTAGAGGGATGTATTAATTTTTACCCATGTACGTCTGGATCAATACAGGGCCAACTGCTACTCATAGACAACCACCTAGCTCAGAAGATTATCGGATTTCACTAATTTGGGCAAATTAACTCACCTTCAACTTTCAGAGGAGAAAGCAAGATTTTTTTTTTTTTTTTTAATTTTGCAGATGAAACAGTGAGGCTGAGAAGCTCAAGTACATTTTACAAGGCATTGAAAATCTCTAAGAGTAGGCACGTAACTTAGACAGATACAACTTACAATCACCATTTTGGAAAAAAGCTTAATTTACTTTTGCTTCGCCGCCTGTAAAGTAGCATATAGGGATAATGTAATGGTTAAGCAAACTAACAAAAGGCTAATACAAAAATAAAATTTAATTCATTACAAGAGCCCAGTAATTAACAAAGTAATATTCCTGTATCTGTATGACTTACAGATGAAAAGTCCGTTTCCTTTTCCACTCCCACTGATAGTGCGTCACAGCTATTCTGTCCCTGTTTTGCTTTCTATGTGTCTGTTTATCTTCTTCAGTGCAAACCCTAACATCTGTGTCTTTCTTAGAAAGGCCTTCTCCATCTCAAGTTTATAAAGATAAGTTCTCTCTTTTCTTTACCCAGAGAGTTTTATTTCTTTGGGTCTAGATGTTTACTTGTTTACCTCACTGGATGTACGCTTCTCTCCGCAGTGACTTGAAATGCCCACGGGACAGCCACCTGCGGCAGTGGAGTGCCTACCTGAAGCCCCTAATTAATGGTTTCCCTGCATCTGTGTCCTGCATCTCCATCAGCTGCTACACTGTCTTTCGCCATCGTTCCTCTGGGCTGGCCTTGTCACTTTGGCCAGAGGAAGGGAGCTGAAGTGATGGTGTGCCCATCTCAAGCAGCCATTTGGGCTCCTCTCTGTGTCTCTCTCAACATATCCTGGATCAGACTGCCGGGGCTCCAGAGACCATGTAGAGAAGAGCCCACAGTCCTCGTCCTAGGCCATTTTGAACCGGCTTACAACCAGCCAACCTTCAACACGGTTGGCCCGCAGATTCATGAGTGATAAGAAATGCTTGTTACTATAAGCATCTGAGATTTTATTAAACAACAGAGGTTAACTGTTACCTACACTCAATTTTCTCATGTACATGCCAGTTTTCTGGACTTTATTGTGTTCTCTCGGTTCTGAGTATGTTTCTGCAGATTATATTTCCACATCATTTCCAATCTATTGCTGATTTTCTGCCAAATTCTTAGCCATGGACAGTGTAAGGTGTGATGAATACCAAACAATCCTCTATTTGGTATGTCACATATTCTCCCACATCCCCTAAATCCTTCTGGGGAGGCTTTTTGCTTCCTTAAGTAAATTTCTGTTCAGTACCTCCTACGTGCACAGGACCATACTAGATTCTACCGCAGATCAAAGGATGCGCATGAAACAGCATGCTGGGATCACTTGAGCTCTCAGCACTTGCATACTGAGTGACTCTGCTAGAAAATAAAAAGATGTGGATGTCCTCTCCTACAGCAAAGCAAATATTGCTCTGATAACCAGAGGCAGAGAATCACTCTCTGGTTCAAGAAGGTGTGGTTGGGAATAAAAGTAGAATACAATGACAGAGAGAAGTAAAATCTCGTAGTACATAATATAAGAAATGACTCAATAAGGTAAGGCTGTTGTTACCTTTCATGTGAAATATGAGCATCTGTACATAAACAGATTTTACGTTTTTCCCAAATTTTCTAATACACGGAAATGTGTGCTCCCTGAGATGGGAGACCGCTGGGTGGTCCAGGGGCTGAACTGTGTTCTCTTTCCAAACTCAAATTTATATTCTCATCCTTTTTCCCATCTTATACCATAAAGGCAGACACTCAACTGTACTGGGTTTCACTTTATGTATTAATAAAATTGCATCATGTTGTGAGGTTTAATTAGATAATAAAGCACTTTGAGGCTCCTCCCTGATAAGCCTATGTAAGTGAAGAATATTGCTAATATAGTAATTATCACATGCACTGAAAAATTCCCCCCCAAAAATGTGCAGGCACGCTTTAAAACCCTGGACAATCACATCAGCTTTGAGTATGGGAAAAAGTAAGCTCTGATGAGGACCTTCATCTTGGGATGGGTGAACTGTGTCGTGCTCACTCGCTTTTTAAAATTTCTATTTATACCCCCTCTTCATTTAAATGTTTAATTAGGAAGGAACACTTCCATGCATTATAATTAAATGCAAGCACAGATTCTTCACCACAAAAGAGTCATTTTCCATTCAGTTTATACAAAGTTTTGTTTTGTCCCCGAATGAATCAGTATGAAAATTAAGCTGGTAGTCTGAAAGCCTTAAAAAGAAGTATAGCTTTCATAATACAAGGAAGATGAAAATGAATTAAAAATCTCAAAGCACATCCTTTTAGAATAATTGCATGCTATATTCTTGCAACCTTAAAGGTAGCTTTCCCAGAGAAAAGAAAAATGAACAAAAGGGTCTTTCGTTCCAGTTTATCTTCTTTAGAAGCTGGAACCTTCCACAGCTGAAGTCCAATTTTTCACTTTTAAATGGGGAGCTTGTGAGGGGAAGACGGCCTGTAGGACAGAAAACAATCCTTGTTCTGATTAGTGATGGCGGGGGTTCTGTATGGGATGGGACGCTTGGAGGTAGAGAAGGAATCAAAGTTCTCAAGCTCCTGTGGTTCTTGAGATCTTCTGCAGACATTCTAACCCGTCCAGAGCTGCAGAATTTGGCCAGAAATCTTGTGCCTAAGAATGACTGAAGCTAAGAAATTCTTGTCTTTCCTGTTCCATCTTCACGCTGGTCTTCCGTGTGCCCAAATGCATGTGAAATATGTACACGTGTGTGTGTGTGTGTGCGTGAGTGGAACCGTCTGTGTGTGTATGTAGCTGAAAGAATGAAAATTATCCCCTGGTTGATTTTGTGCTGAAAATTTTGCCCTTGTGAGATATACCCGACCTTCCCCTTCGGCATTGGCGTGTGACCCCCGTCTCACCCAATGACGGTGGAAGCCTTTCAATCCTGGTATTTTTATTCTTCTGTTAGAGAAGAACCTCGACGTTAAAGATTTCCCAACCTGAAATAGACCCCTTTCCTGCCCCTTGAAAGCATGGAGTGGGTGTGAGTTCAGATGGAACTGGACACAAGACAGCTCACATTTTACCAAAATATTTTGTTTGTTTTCAACATCGATGTTTGATTTTGGCATCAGTGTGTCTAACCCACTCTTACTGTTATCTAGAAGAGCAGACAATTCCAGGCTTTTCTGAGTGCAAATCTCACCAACACACAGATGGTGTCTTAATTATCGTGGTGTCCAGAAGCTAATATGTATGAATCTGTCCACCAGCATTTAAATGGGAGTGTTTTTTCCTTACCTAATTGCAGGGGGAAAAGACAAGGGAAACCAGCAAACCATTGGAATAGAGAATCACAGGGCCACTGCCTGAGGCACTGCCATCTTGGTTGATTTTCAAGTAACTAGAAAGTTGAAGTAGAGCCAGACAGATTTAGGTTATGTTGAAAACAAATTATGAACAAAAAATCGATGCAAAGATACTTATTTTTTTCTCCTTGATAATATATGTCACACCCTCTATTGCCCGAAACATGCACATCATTGTCCTGTGTAGTCACACGTGGATTTTATAAAACGTTTGCTATAGATTTCCCTGGGGACTTGACTTCCGTCCGTTGCGCCCACGGAATCAAAGGGCTTACTTAACAAGCAGGTCTGTGCAGCCATGGAACGCTGGAGACGGCCAACACACCCACTTGTGTGGAGGCGACTCACCAAACTCGCCTCCTTGGGGAAGAAAGGATGCAAGCCTTCTCTGCCAGATGCTGACTCCACAACACAGTTGCTGGGAAGTGTGGCCACAGAGCACTCTTCTGTGGCTATCTCTGAAGCATGGAGCAGCTCACCAAGGTTTCCAGGACCCCATCTCTGATCAGTGCTCGGTGCACTAATACCTAGGTCTCTGTGGATATGTGTTTACAGGCCACTTTTCCACGCATGGGGCGACGTCCTCCACCCTCCCTCACTGTGCTTTATCCCAAGCCTCACGCTCCGTCTTGGTGAAGCCAGCCAGCGACTCTCTTCCCCTCCCAGCAGGTCTGCAGATCCGTTAACAGCAGTGTTTTTCTTGGTTCCAAAAAGGTTGCTATGGTTATGTGAGGTGTTCGCAGGAGAGGCTGATAGACTCATAGGCATTCTCTCTACTGTCTTGGTGACTTTTCTGTAAGTCTAAAATTATTTCAATAGACAATAATGCTAATTAATTTTTACTGATCACTCTGCACTAGACACCGTTCTAACGTATCTACGTGTAATCCTGTCTATAGACGTACAAGGTACACATATATAAGTACATGTATATAATGTAATTTCATTTAATCCTCGCAAAGTCCAAAAAGATAAGCGATGTTCTGCTCCTTTTACCGATGAGGTAACTAAGACACAAAGGAAGTTCGGTCACTTGCTCCAGGCCACACACACACACCTGGGAAATGCCAGAACCAGACTTGGGACCGAGGCCACGCCGAAACTTCTGAAACTTTCCCCAGGTTTCTTTGCTCATTTTTAATAAGAATCAGTTCAGTTATGATTCTTCAGGGTATTACAGATACATGCTCAGGGAAGAATTTGGGTGCCCAGGTCACCAGCCATTGAAGACACCACTGAGATGCAGACTTACCTGGAATAGCACACATGCAGACGGAGAAACCAGGGGCGCCCTCGCGTGGCTTCCTGGGAGACGGGATGGAAGAGCAGAGGCCTGCAGAGGGCAGGCCAGGCCCTTCACACGGCCTTCTTGGTGTGCTGGTAAAGGCCTCGTAACTGGCTCTCCAGAGGGGGTTAGCCGAGCCCTGGTTCATAGCATTCGCTTATTTTTGTGGTGAGACTCCTGCCATGGGTGATGTGGAGATACCGACATAGCACCTACAGGCCCACAAGTACCTAAAAGATAACAATTATCTCGTGAGCAGGTCTGCATAGACTCTAGCACACCACTCAGTCGTCATTACAGCGGCCGTAGTGTCCTATTTCTGAAAGAGACAGAGAAGGAGAACGAGGTGGGAAATTCCATGAGATGCCTCACATGGATGCATATAATACTTGGGCAAACCTGGTGAAGAAAATTCATAAAGACAGCTCCTTTGGGGCGCCTGGATGGTTCAGTCAGTTAAGCGTCTGCCTTCGGCTCAGGTCATGATCCCAGGGTCCTGGGATCAAGTCCTGCATCGGGCTCCCTGCTCAGCGGGGAACCTGCTTCTTCCTCTGATCCTCCCCCTGCTCATGCTCGCTCTCTCTCAAATAGATAAATAAAATAAAATTAAAAAAAAAGACAGCTCCTCTTTGGGGGGTTGACCCACATTATGAGCCAATTCCCTATAGAAGATGGACGAAGTCACTCATGACAGTTTGGAAATCTGTTTTTCTCTGGCTTACCTTGTGAACTGTTCACATTTACATGGAAAGAAAGACGAGAGGCCATGTTACAATGTCACGGGGCAGACAGGAGGATCGCCCAGACGTGCCGTCTATAGGTTTGAAGGTTTTCTAAAGAAGAAGTTAGTAAAAAAGCAAGTGTTTTGAGTGTTTTCAATACGTTACTCATACTGAAGTGAAGATGTTAACATGGGGGAAAAAAGGACACTGATTTGGTGGGAAACACCAACTTCACATCGTTTGCTTTTATTTCCATGTGTTGGGACATACGGAACATTCCAGGGCCAGTCTTCTGGACGGCAAGAGGAGCTCTTTGCATGTGGGACGAGAGGATTTCCTGACAAGTCCAGGGATTCTTCTTAGGGTAAGAGCAGAGGAGGCCCCTGAAGGGTGAAGCAGGGTGTGACACCATTGGATCTGCAATGAGAGTAACAGCAGAAATTGCTCAGTTTGGTCTATAAACCCTCCGACTATGAGCTGCAGAGTGGAAAAAGCCAGTTAACATTGAAAGCACATGACAGAGGCATTTTGGTAGGTGGTTAACTTCTTTCAGTAGGGGCTGGAGTAGACAGAGAACTAGCATACTCTGTAAAAAACCAACTATTATTTTAAGTACTAAATGAAAGTTTGTATTTCCCAACTGAAAACCTGTAATATTGCCTTCATCTTCTAAGTATTTATTAAGTTTGTTTTATTTTTAAAGAAGGGTCCAGATTTGTAAGGCTTCATTAAGCCATTCCAAAGCTACAAACGGAAAGAAATGAATTTATTTAATTCCTTTGGAGGACACATAAAATCCACAGCTCCCACATGTGTCCGTTTTCCTACTCAAGCAGCATTTTAAAATATCTATTATTTAAGTGCTGGCCTCTGTTTATCAGATGGCAGACTGAGCCGATGGTAAGGCCCAAATCTTTCTTCAAATCCCATGGCAATGACAGAAGGCAC